AGATCCGAGCTGCACGCCGCAGTGTCCAGCCAATCTGAGCCATGAGCTTCCGAAATACAAGCAGTATATTAAATGCCCGACCAGAGAGGAGAGGACATTGGACCACTGATACAGCACGATCAGCGGGGCCTATCAGATTAGAGCGCACTGATGCAGTGTGTTGCAGTCTGTTCCTGTTCTGAAGGCTGAGGGAGTGGAACCAGCAGGTGAGAGAGAAGGTCATGATGCTTTCCAGGAAGGCATAGTAAAAAGTCATCATGATGGGTGTGCTGACTCCAAAGGAGTTGAGTTTCCTAAGGAGGTATAGTCGTTGGTGGCACCTCCTGAGAATCTTCTCTGTGTTGGCAGAGAATTTCAGGAGGTTGTCAAAGATGGTTCCCAGGTATTTGTACTCCTCAACTACCTCCACTGGCTTCCCATGGATGGTGGTGGTGACTGAAGCAGCCAGATCCCTCTGCCTATACCGGAGAAGATCACCACCATCTCTTTGGTTTTGCTCACATTCAGTTCAAGTTTGGAGCTGTCACCACTCTACAAACTCCTGCAGAGCGGGCCCGTGGTGTTGTGAGGGGCCTGACAGCAGTGACAGGAGTCGTCAGCATATTTCATCAGCATATTTCTCAGTCATCCAGGTCATTGTGGTTTAAGGAGCTTGGAAAGAAAAAAAGCGTATGGACTTAAGTCTTTAACACTTAAGACTTTAAGTTGCTTGAAGACGTCTCACCTCTCATCCAAGAAGCTTCTTCAGTTCTAGCATCACATGGTGGAGAGTCCCAGATTTAAGACCTGTGGGAGTATCCCCCCAAGAGGGACATGGACCCCCTATTGATCCTCTACCTCTACCTAATCACACGAGCCAAAATGTGAATAGATGATCTATAATCCAGATCATTATAGATCTGGATAAATAGATCTATAAACCTATATATTCTATATAACCTATGTAGCATAATATGTATGCGTTATATATTAATATATAACGCATATCAATATATAATATGCGTTATATATTGATTTCATAAATCAATTATAGTTCATAAACTGCTACGTCAGCAGCATTTTAAAGTCACCGATGGCCCAGATTTGAACTGCTTTTCCAGAGTATCAAGAGTCAAAAGAGAAACTAAGAGTGTTCTCATGTGTGTACTTTGTTCTACCAAATCTAATCAGTTGAGTTTATAAAGTCAGTGAACTTTTCTGTTGTTTCAGCATTTCACCTAGAATGTGGCGATAAGTAGCTAATTTGTCTGATATGAAATATTATCTTATGAAACAGTTAAGGTTGTTGTCAATTTGTGTAAATCTAAAGGGTCTAACTCATGATTTTGCGTTTTTAACTCAGTGTTTTTTGTTTGTGAACTTTTGAATCTTGGTTAATCATTGTTGTAGTATTCCTAGAGTGAATTATGTTTCCTAGTTTAGTTTTCTTACATTTATGTGTTTTCTGATTATTGGGCTTATCTCTGTGGTTTTGGTTTAGTTCCCTTAGTGTTTCCTGATTTATTTTCACAGCACCTTGTTTCATGTGCATCATATTTAGTTTTGCTTCCTCTGTTCCATTGGTCAGATTTGTTCCAGCTCCGTTTCCACCTGTTACCCATCCTCTCATTATCCTGTGTATTTAAGTCATCAGTCTTTCTCTGTTTCCTGTCACGTCATTGTCATCTGGCTTTGTATGCATGCTCCTTGTGCCTTAATGTTCCCTAGTATGTCCAAGTTACCATGTTTCTGAGTTTCAGATCATGCCAAGGTGTTAAGTTTGGGAGTTTCAACTGTCAATAACGATGCCGTTTAAGTTTAGCAGCTGAGCAGCAGATTACGTTTAATTATGCCATCACTCTTTTTTCCTGCCCTGGACCTGGAAATCACAGGGACACATCGCACATCAATGCCTGTCTGTTGTGGCACCTCAAGTATTTCTTGCACAATTTCCTTTAAGCCTTTAGTCTAATAAGTTTCTATATTTATTTACAAAGCTTAATAGTGTTTGCAAAAAGACTAGCAAGAACAATGGCAGGTGGTTAGATCTATGGTTATTAGTAAAATAACTATTCAATGTTTCAATAAAGAAAAACGTGAATAAAATAGTGTGCCTGTTATATGAGTCATCATGAAAATTCAGAGCCAACACGGTGCGTCTCTGAACAAATGCATTTTTTATAACTCATCTGTTTTGATGAACAAATACAAAACTTTATCCTTGCAAGAATTAATCGATAACACTCCACCCAAGAAAGCAATGGGCATTGTCAAGGGGGTTATCGCACTTTTTATATAGGGTCTATGGTATTCACACAGCATCAAATCCAAGTAAACGAAAAGCTACCACTACACACAGCATCATACTGGTTATATGTGTCTGAGGTGGGAGCAAGAAAGTAAAAACAGGAAGAAAACACTTTGCAATCTAAGAGTGGAGTGACAGGAAACATGCTGCATTGCTTTACACTGAACGAAGAAAAAAGCAGAGCACAGGGTTAATACCAAGCATGGACTTAAAAGGTAGCGTGTGTCAGAAGGTCAATTGTCTTCCCGATACAGCACTTGTTTTGGTTTCAGTGGTTCTGGACCACACCACAGTGAAATTACAATTCCACTGCAACTTGTTGTGCAGCACCAAATTCTCCTTTTTTTTTTTGAAAGATTTTCAAAGCACCACATCCACATCTGTGATAGAATTTTTCAACACAAGAACAAAACAATATAATGTAATAATTTTAAAAAAGGAATCTCTTGGAGAAATGACTCACAAAGAGTAAAGTCACAAAGCAAACTGTTCATTTCATTGTCTTTATTCATATATAAACTGCTTACTTTAAATACAGACTGAGTGATCAAAAATTGAACAAATGTATTTTTGGTGACTTGTGAATTTCCATATGAAGAGTCAAAAAGCTTCTGTGTTGCCGTGGGAGGAACACTAGCCATCTCCAAAGGTCTCTGTTGGATGTGGATGTGGATGGATGACAGGACAATAGAAAAAAAATCAAAGACAAGATGGTCAGAATAGCAAAGATGATGTGAAACAAAGAGTAACATGTAACACATACACTATCTGGGCCTGTAGTTATCAACCACCTCTGAAGTTGAAATGGGACTAAAAATACTATAAGCTCAGATATTTATGAGTCATGCTACGACCACTCCCCACAGGGAGCTCTCATTTGAAAGAAAATGATGTTACTGTTTTACAATTTTCAGAGCAATAAGATGAAATTAATGACAATGTCTAGTAGGTTTTCCTCTGTGGTGCCAGTATGAAATCACATCTGAAATAATGGAGGCCCCGTTCCCTGATAATGACCTTGGAAGTTAAGAGCATATTTTATTCTTGGGCACTTCTATGAAAACTCATAAAAACCTGCATGTTTCTCAAGGCAGCAATTACGTGCAAGTGCATAGAAATGCTAGAGGCATCTTAATGTTGGATCTGCAAAAAGAAATGTCATGTGTCATTTGACATGATCACAAGATGGCGGGCGTGATCACAGCAGGATTGGCGTCCTCGCGGTGGTGCGGTGATGTTTGGTGTTAAAACTCCAAACAATTTCAATTATAGACCTTGTTTGGGCAAATAAATAAACTAAGGTTGACATTTATAAGAGACGAAATGGCAAAGATGAAGAAAGTTGAAGAAGATCTGGAAGAGATTAAACATTCACTTAACTCGCTGACGTCAGAAATTGGAAAAGTAAATAAGCAACAAAGAATATTAATGTCGATGATGGACCAAATCAAAGAACTAAAAAACCTGATTAAGGCGAAAGACAAGACAATCCAGTTTTTGGAAAGGAAGGTGGACGATCTAGAACAGCAGGCTCGACTTGAGGAAGTGATTATTACGGGTCTGGAAACTAAACACAGGAGTTATGCGAGAGTCACCGAGTCTGGGAGAAGACGTGCCCCCGATGGAGGAGCTACAGTCGTTGGAACGGCAGGTTGTGGAATTCTTTTCGAATAAAAAACTTCCCCTGCATAGTAATAATATATCTGCATGCTATGCCCTTCCTAGAAGGCACACTAATGCTCCTCCAGCAATTGTAGTGAGATTTGTAAACCGTAAACACAAAGTTGATTTGCTGAGGCGGTCCAGCCTTTTGAGAGGAAGCAGAGTATATTTGAATGAACATCTTACAAAAAGAAATGCAGATATTGCTAGACAAGCTCACATTTTACGGAAGGAGAAAAAGATTCAAGCAACCTGGACCAGGAACTGTAAGGTGATGATCAAACTAAATGGAACGCCAGAAGAAGCCAAGGTTATAACGATTAAGGATCTTGAGGAATTGGACATTTATACGAGATAACATTATCAAGATAGGCAAACGGCTACGACCAATCATGGCTATGAGCCTAAAAACAATTAGTTCATCCTTTACAAGAACAGATGCTACCTCGGGTGGAAAAGGACAAAAGGAAATTGTAAATTGTACATAGAGATCAACGGACTTTAAAATTTGTCGATAAATGAATGTGCGATTGCTAAGGATCCCTTTCTTTTTTTCTTTTTTTTTGAGGGTAATAGATAGTTTTAGAATAATTATGCATAATGCTTGACGACTCAGATCATAAATCATATGATTTTTAAGTAGGTATTGACCCTGAAAGGAATGTGCTTAATACAATTAATGTCACATGTGAATATTATACAGAGGAGCAATTCAGGGATAAGGTTGAAATAGTTAATACATTTTCTTTAACTCATATTAATTGCAGAAGTCTTTATAGAAGTTTTGCTTCGATTAAAGATTTCCTGTATAGTTTGAGAGGCAGGTTTCAAATAATTGCTCTGTCTGAAACATGGTTAGATGAGAAGAGGGGTTGTCATTTCTGTATCGAAGGGTACGATTTATACTTTGTAAATAGAATTAAGAAAAAGGCAGGAGGAGTGGCACTTTTTCTTAATTGTGATTTGAAATGTAAAAAAGTTGAATGTATGTCTGTGGCTATAGACGATTTAAAGGAATCTGTGACAGTGGAATTGGATATAGAAAGAAGAAGTAATATAACTGTAACGTGTATATATAGGAAACTGGGGTCACAGATTGAGTTATTTACAGAGGCAGTAGAAGACTTATTGAGTAAAGCTAAGGGAAATAAGACTTTATGTTTGTGTGGTGATTAGAATATTGATCTTTGTAAAGAGGCAAAGGCTGCGTTAGATTTTTTTGAATTATTACTTGGTAAAGGATTTTATCCTTTAATTATAAAGCCGAGTAGAA